CCTTGCTCAGACAGCTGATAATACCCAAGAGGCTCATAATGCCTTTCCCTTGTTTTAACACTTAGAAATTCTATTCATCATTCAAGGTCCTGCTCAAAAGTCTCTTTCTTAACAACGTCTTTGCCACTCCCTCACTGGCAGTTTGCCATAATCTCTTCCTGTAAAACAGACTCTTTCTCTAGACCTTTCTTTAGCACTTACCACATTCTACTGTGGATTTATTTCTCCAACTAGCGTCGAGGGCAGGGTCCACCTCTTGTCCCATCCTTGGGTGCATAATAACAGTGATCTGAAGTATTTACTGCAGATTTGGCAAATGAAAAACATGTCCATCACTTTATAGTTCACAAAGTGGTTTCCTAATTACAACGTAACTCTGTGAATACAATAGAAACAGTTGATTTTTCTCTTAACAGGAATCTGCGTCTAGAGCTCTTTCCAAAAGTAATTTCTATCGGAATACCATCTGCTGCCCTCCTGTGTTTGATACAATTATTTTATACGGGAACAGAAAAAGAATGACTGGCTCAAGTAAATATATTTGGACTTCACATTACTTTCAGACACTTGAAAGGAATTTTTTCCCCCACACAAAAATGATTACTCTTCCTACTAAAATTATCTTTAATATATTTAAATTTTTACTTTGTGTTATATGAGAACTTTCATATTGGTCTGATATTCCTTCAGTATAATCTGCTATTCTCTGAGTATTTCCAATTTTTAAAATCTGAGACAATAACTGATTTCAAATCATCCTAATATGCTTTTACATGCTAGACTTGCTTGGGCAACAGCAAGTCTAAGGACTTAACTAAAGACTTTGTACTTTGGATTTGAAAGACTTGATTCAAATCCTAGTTTAGCTACTTAAACTACTTTGTGACCTTGGGCATAATTACTCTTCTGGACCTTCTTCTCCCGTAAAATGAGATAATATCTTCCAAAGATCAGGTAAGATAAAAAACACTTAGCACACCATAAAAGCTCTCAATATGTTAACTATTATTATTAAAGGAAGTATGTTTTCAAATATCACTTTCTTCGGTGTTACCTATCTTGGTGAAGTTGAAGACTGCCTAAGAACATGAATTAGCATGGGCCCAGCATGTTATCTGGATTAAGTCCCGTCTTCGATACTCAACACTTAACATTTATTGAACACCTATGAGGTGCCAAGCACGGTTCTAGACACTTGAGATTTATCAGTGAACGTATCAGTGGTCAGTGAATAAACCAAAATCTTTGCCCTTGTGAAATCTAAGAATACGGATTCTAGCCATTCATGGAGGTCTTTCCCTAAATTACTAACTTCCTCATAAATTCCTGCCGTTCTTATTGTCCACGTTACCCATCTGATTCTTTATACATGCTACCCCCTACTAGATATCCAGTCCCTTCATCTCTCTCTCCATCTCCAATGCAGGTGGTCATCTCTTTCTTGGTCTATTACTACAGCCTCTAACTAGGGACAAGGGCTCACTCATGCCACTTTGTATACCTTTATCATTTTGTAATGACAGTGATTTAAGCTTGATTCTCTTGCTTTTTAAAGTAACTGGAAGAAAAGCATTCTTGTTGATACCTTTATTTAAGTGCTGCCAATTACAGTCTATTCTCTTTTACATTGGAGTTCCTGGGTGGTGCAAACAAATGGTTAACACCCTTGGCGACTAACCAAAGGTTGGAGGTTTGAGATCACCCAGCAGTGTCTCGGAAGAAAGCCCTGGTGATCCTCTTTAAAAAAATCTTTAAAAAAATAGCAACTGGTTTTCTCTTTTACGTTACCTCAGTCTGTTCTCAACACAGCAGCAAGAGGGATCTTCGGAAACAGTAGTTGCTTTCCTTGAAGTGACTGCTTATGCCATTCATTTTTGAGAAAATGTCTGCCAAATACCTAAGTCTAAACAATCGTAGTTTAATCTACTATTCTCAGTCATTCTGTTAAAATAAAAATAATGGTGGTACAGGATTTCAGGGATTCTTTGAGGTCAAACTATTTTCATAATACTGAATTTGCCTGGTTTCACTGCACTGACATTGAATGGGTGGTGTAATGATGAGTAAAACTCCTGACACTTAGCATGAATCAAGGCACTGGCACCAAACTGTACCAGTCGTCACTGTATTCTTCACTGCCACACACTCAATTTAAAAAACAAAAACGCAAACTAAAAAACAAAAACAAGATAACCAAACTCAGTTCCACTTAAGAATGTCCTTAATGAAGTAGTAAAAGTTACTGATTTTACTTTGATGGTTATAAGGGAGGGGAGGAGTGGGAAGGGAAAAACACTTAATAGACAATAGCTAAGTGCTAACTTTGGTGAAGGGTAAGACAGTACATAGTACTGGGGAAGCTAGCACAACTTGACGAAGGCAAGGCCATGGAAGCTCCATAGACACATCCAAACTCCCTGAGGGACCAAATTACCTGGGCTGAGGGCTGTAGGGACCACGGTCTCAGGGACCATCTAGCTTAAATGGCATAACAAAGTTTATAAAGAAAATGTTCTACATTCTACTTTGGTGAGTAGCTTCTGGGGTATTAAAAGCTTGTGAGCAGCCATTTAAGATACTCTACTGGTGTCACCCCATCTGGAGCAAGGGACAATGAAGAAAACAAAAGATACAAGGGAAAGATTAGTCCAAAGGACTAATCACCACAACTACCACAGCCTCCACCAGACTGAGTCCAACACAAGAGGGTGCCCAGCTACCACCACCTACTGCTCTGACAGGGATCACAATAGACAATCCTGGACAGAGCTGGAGAAAAATGTAGAACAAAATTCTAACTCAAAAAAAAAAAAAAAAAGACCAGACTTACTGGTCTCTGTAGCTCAGTAATGAAGTCACTCCTCAGGTTTACCGTTCAGCCAAAAATGAGACAGGCCCATAAAACAAAACAAGACTAAATGGGCACAGTAGTCCAGGGGCAAGGACGAGAAGGCAGGAGGGGGCAGGAAAGCTGGTAATGGGGACCCTAAAGTTGAAAAGGGGAGACTGTTGACATGTCGTGGGGTTGGCAACCAACATCACAAAACAATATGGGTATTAATTGTTCAATGAAAACCTAGTTTGCTCTGTAAACCTTCATCTAAAGTACAAAAAAAAAAAAAAGTTACTGATTGTATTCAATCTTAACCCTGGAAGACACATCTCTTTACTATTCTGGGTGACAACGGTGTGCGTAAAGCTACCTCCCAAAGTATGATGATTTTCTTAAGGAAATGCACTTGCACTTGTGATGATTTAAGTTGCAAATTGAATTTTTTTTTTTTTTTCCCAAAAACACCATTACTACTTGAAAGAAGACACATTATACTTATCGAGACTTGGATATTTGACAGACATTTCCTTGAAAATGAACCAAATGTGCCTGTCACTTCAAGGAAAACAACTGACAGTATGTGCTACCAATGATCAAATTCAAGCTATCAAACAAAAACTTAAAATCTTGGAAAAAGCGTATATCCATCATTGTGAGCTCTTCAGCTTCCTGATACTTTAATAAAGCTTTTGTGATGAGATCAGTGGTAATATTAAGAAATTTTGTGATATATACAGCAAAACCTGCAAAAGCCGGAACCTGTGTAAGGAGGAAACCTGTCAGAGAAGGAAAACTCAAATACTTTTCCACTAATAGAAGAGAAGAGTGGTAAGACTGCCCTCTGACAAAGGCAGAAAACTTCCAAGACATGGAAAAACAACGCAGTTCCATTGAGTTCTGGCTCTCAAAGGTTTCACTGTATGATGAAATTTGTCAAAATTTGGAAGATCTGCATAACTCAGTGAGCCAACACCTTCCAAATAACTAGTGCATGATGTTAAAAATCATGTATATGTAAAAGATTCATTCCAAGTGCAAGATAGATGAACGGATTTTAGTGTAACGGAATGAAAAGTTCATAGCTTCAGACTTTCCATTATAACTAACCTTTAAGAAATCACTCTGGTTGTATTTTGTTAAGAGTATCAAAGAATATCAACAGTTATTTGAAAAGGCTATTGAAATATTCCTCCTTTACAATAAAATTATTTGAAGCTAGATTTTTTTTCATACTTCAGTCAAAACTTTATATTGCAAGAGTATGAATGCAGAAGCAGGTCTTCTATCTTCTAGAATCTAGCTGTCTTTCTATTAAGCTATGAAGATATCTGCAAAATTGTAAAATAATGGCATTCTTCTAACTAAATTATTTGTTTTGGAAAATAGTTATTTTTCATACAAAATGTTTTTGTACTATTATTTTTAAAGGAATTATTAAATTTTAAAATTTCTGCTTTAATTTCTAATGTGGTGGATATCAATAACTATAACCCTCAAAAACAAAGACTCTGACCTTCAATAACTTTAAGAGTGGAATGCTATCTCAAGGCCAAAATGTTTGAGAATCACTGATCTAAAATATGTCAGTCATATCATTTCTGTTTAAATCTTTCCAAGGGCTCCTCATCTCCTTCAGGGTAAAATGTAAGGTAAAAGGCAAGCCACAAGGCTCTACTCTATCAACTTCCCCTCTATTACCTGTCTGACCTCATCATATCTGCCCTCCTCTACCTGTCCCTCTATTTGCTCACTCCCTCCAATAAGCCAGACTCCTAACGATAGGACCCCGGCATCGGCAGTTCCCTCTACCTGGAAAGCAGCTCCCCAGTTTTCTGCATGGCTATTTCCCGTATTCCCTTAAAGTTTTTGCTCAAATGTCACCATTTCAATAACCTAACACAAGCATCCTATTAAAATCACAACTTTGTCGCTACTTCTATCCTCCCCACCTTAATTTCCTCCTTTTTCCCCTAGGGCACCTTCTAACACTTACTTATGCCTATAGTTTGTCAATGCGCAGTGGTAAAGAGCTTGGCTGCTAACCAAAAAAGGTGGGCAGTTGGAATCCACCAGCTGCTCCTTGGAAACCCTACGAGGCAGTTCTACCTTTTCCTACGGGATCGCTAGGAGTCGGAATCGACTCAATGGCAATAGGTGGTCTGGTTTTTTTGTTTGGTATGGTTGGCGTTTGTCTGGCCTCCTCCCTACCGCCCTCGCCTGCCCCCAGTATAATGTAAGCCCCAAAAGCCTGTAAAAATGCCTGTCACATAGAGTTTAACAAATATTTGCTAAATGTTGATGAACGAAAGAGCTCATTTGCCAGTCTGTCAGTCCTGAAGACACGGCACAAAGTCCCAAAAAATGATGCAATTTACAAACAGAGAAGACAATGACAGCAAAGACTATAAAAATGGGAGAAAAAGGTGGGATACAATGATCACAAATCTCAATACTGAAGGTATTATGGGCCTGGAAAAAAAATTCTTGAGAAAATTCGGGATGGGGGAATATTATAAAGTATGCGCCAGGCGGATTAAGTGCCTGGCAATGGATGCTGGCCTTGAACTGCCCGTCATCTCCTGCTCGGCCTCCCATGAAACCTTAGTTTCCAGAGCCCTCCCTGAGTCCCTCCACACTCGAACACAGGTAGTCCACACCAAGAGACTGAACAATTTCTAAACTTTATGGATAAAACGAAAACGACAATCAAGTAGCCAAAAAACGAGCCTCCAAATCCCGTCTCGCTCCAGTTCCGCCTCCCCTAACGCTTGACCGCTCTAGGATCTCTCCACGACCAGTTCTCAGAAATCCTGATCGTCTTCTATTGCTGTGTTCCTAACGGTTCCCAGCAAGACAGGTCAGGCAAGACGACCCTGGGTAACCACCTTTGCACGAGGAAGTGCGAGAAGCCGGAGTCATGCAGAATCGGTCCTCTTAGGGCAGGAATGCGCTGGAACGACGGGGAAAAAAACGAATGCCGGGAGATGCTCCCGCAGACCGGTGATATGCGGCGTCTCAGTTCTCCTCAGGCTTGTCGGCCGGCGGTCCGCAAGGCTGCAGCATCTTCTCCATCAAGTTGAAGCGGACTCGTGCTTTGCTCTCATTCTCCGCGATGGCGAAGTAGTTGAGAAGGTCGAAGTGGCCCATGTAGGAGCAGTACGAATCCCGGTGCTGGTTCACCAACCACTCCCACTTGGTGGTGTCGGCGTGGCCGGTGCCAATGTACTTGGACTGCAGATGCTCCAGCTGGCTGTGGATGGTGTAGCGGTCGGTCATCTTGCCGTGTTCCCTCTTGATCCCAGATCAGAGGCCACAAAGAGAAGTAGCTGCTCTAGCTCGTCACGCCGGATAGAAGGAAATCTCCGGACTCGCGTAGTCGCAAGATAATGGCGTCACAGCGACGAAGCCACGTTGCTTCTCGGCCATAGTGCTCAGAGAAGGAAGCGGAAGCGTATTCCGCTACCTAATTGGAGTTGCCTAGGCGACGTAACAATTGCCCCCGCCTCTATAGGGAGCCACGCCCCCTTCGTGGAGCGTTGCATGTTGGTCCATTTAGTGGCCGAAGGCCGCGCTTCTTTAGTTGGGCTCGTTGCTGGGTGGAAAGGTAGTCCGCTTGAGTTCTTGCATGTATGTTTTGGGTATCCCTTCTAGCGTTATAAGAGGCCATGGGCTGCCTGGGGCCGGAGAAAATGGGAAACGCAAGTCGGATAGGACTACATGCTACCGGGAAGTGGCCTCTTGGTATAATTATGCTTTCGGAGCTCACGTGGCCGTACGGTAGCCCCTTTACAGCCGGAGATGGATCACCCTGAAGTCAGGAGACGTTAGTTCTAGTCCTAGCTCTGCCTCTTACAAGTTGTACGGATTGAAGGAGTTATTTGAACTTTTAGGCCGCCGTTTCCTGCTTGCTGACCAAAATACGGTGCCAGTTCTGACACGTTCCGGCTTCCACACACAAGCTCCTCCTTCCACTCTAGCTTCTCATTTTGAGATCCTGCTTTCAGCTCTTCACCCCACCGTACACGGCCCCAGCCTATACTTAACGTTACGTGCTACTCGGTTTCCAGTTCTTTGTACAAGCTGTTCCACTTGGAATGCCTTTGTTCCCTTGGCAAAAACTTCTCCCGTTCAGTCAGCTCAAAAGCATCTTGAAGCCTGCTCTGACTACTCCAGACAAACTCCTTCGTCTTTGCATCTTGTACATCTCTTCGCTATTATCGCTTTAGACTTTGATTTTTTGGTTTAAGAATGTTTCCTCACAAGAACAGAAATTCTTCGAGAAAAGGATCCTATGCTTTTTTTATGATAGTCCCATAGCCTAGCACAGTACCTGCCGGAGATTGTATTCTCAAAAAACATGTGATGCAAGGGTAAACAACTGTATTGTAGCTAAATAGAAGGAACTCTTTATTGGGAGAGATAACTAAAATATTTTTATTCTGTTGTTTAAACTTTGTTATATCATTTCTAAAGTGTAGACAGTATTATAAAGCATATCTGTGAGTTCACGATCCAGAATTTTCAAACATTGCCATTTTTGTCTCAAATTTTATTATTTTGCCTTTTTTGTTAGGTTTTTTTTTTTAAAGAAATTGATACAAATAAACTTGAAGTTCTCTGTGTTTCCGTTCTTAATCTATATACGTCTGGACAAAAACCAAACCAGTTGTCCTGTAGTTGATTCATGGCGACCCCATGTGTGTCGGAGTAGAACTGCACTCCATAGGGTTTTCAAAGGCTGTGATCTTTCTGAAGCAGATATCCAGGCTTCTCTTCCCGGGCACCTCTGGTCCACCCACCAAATTTTAGGTTAACAGCAGAGCATGCTAACTGTTTGCATTTCCTAGGGACGCAACACTATTGTGAATTTAGAGTTAATCATTCTGGGGCCTGTTTTATCTATTGCTGAGTGTTTCTGCATAGTGTAATGCATGTTTTAAAGCTTTACCTAAATAACACCGTGTATCTATTGTTATGGAGTCCTTGGGTGGTGCAAACAGTTAATACACTGTGCGGCTAACCCAGAGTTTGGCAGTTCCAGCTCACCCAGAGGCACCTTGGAAGAAAGGCCTGGTGATCTACTTCCAAAAAATCAGCAGTTGAAAACTATGGAGCACAGTCCCACTCTAACACACATGGGGTTGCCATGAGTTGGAATCAACTCCACAGCAACTGTTTTTTTAAAAAATGTATTGTTATAAAATTTGCATTTTTCACACATTAGTATCCATGTTGATATATGTAGCTTTAGTTCAAGTTTACTGCTGTGTAGTTTGCCACTGAATGAACATACTACAATATGTCCAGTCTCTCAATAATGGACTTAGTTTACTATTTCCAGATTTTTGCTATCAGAAACAATGCTGCAATGAATATTCCTGTACATACATTCTTAAACATGTGAAGGAGTTTCTCTAGGGCATATACATAGGAATAAAGTTGCTGGGACATATGAATGAGTGTCTTCAAGCTTTGCTAGACATTGCCAAACTGCTCTCCAAGGTGATTATGCCAATTGAGTCTCCACTAGCAAAATGAGAATTCTTCTTGCTCCACATTCTTTTCAATACTTGGCATTATCAGACATTTAAAAATTTTGCATACCTAAATGGTGGATTGCATTTCATTGTGACTTTAATTTGCATACCCCTAATTACTAGGAAAGTTGGGCATCTTTCAATGTATTTTTGGCCTATTGGGTTTCTGCTTCTGTGAATTATATATTCATATCCTTTGCTCATTTTCTAATGGGGATGTTTGTCTTTTTCCTACTAACTTTTGAGGAGATCTTTATATATTCAAGATACCAGGCTTGCCAGTTATACGCAATGAAAGGATCTTTCCCCAGGCTGACTTTACTCTTTTGTTGTGGCATCTTTTGTTGTACAGAAATTTTTAGAGTTTAAAGCAGTCAAATTTATGAGTCTTCCTTTATGGATTATGCTTTTCTCATTTGGTTTAAAAGCAAAATCCTTTCCTACCCTGGGGTCATAAAAATAGTCTCCTTCATTTTCTTTTAAAAGTTTTAAAATTTTGGTTTTTCCCACTTTGGAATTTAGTCCATCTGGAAGTTTTTGGTTTAGGGATCTAATTTTTAATGTTTTCCCATACAGCTAACCAGTTCCCAGTGAAATAGTTCATCCTTTCCCTACCCATTACCCATTGCCGTCGAGTTGACTCTATAGGACAGAGTAGAGCTGCCCAAAAGGGTTTCCAAGGAGCAGCTGGTGGATTCAAACCACTGACCTTTTGATTACCAGCCAAACACTTAAGCACTACACCACCAGGGCTCCTGTTGTACATACATAGGTCTGTTTCTAGGCATTCTGTTCCATTTGTCCCTTTGTCTATACCTTTACCCATAACAGGGTCTTAATTACTGTAACTTTATAAGTTTTAATATCTGATAGGGTGAAAGCCCCCACCATTTTTTTCTTTCATAAATGTCTTGGCTCTTGATCCTTTGCTCTTCCACCTGAATCTAGAAATGTCAGTAGAATCCCCTTGGAATTTGTGTTCAAGTAGTCAAAGCCATGAAAATTAATCTTATGTTATTTCCATATCATTAAGAATGATTCTAAGAATATGAGACAAGTGAAGTTCAAAGGCTTTTAGAGCTAGATGGAAAAAATTTACATATATTAATTAAGAGTCAAGGAAATGCCAGTCTAACCAAATTATGTGGGCATTGCAAAACTCTGGGAGTAGAAATTTGAAATGACACGGGCCATACAACCACTCTTTGCTTAAAGTTAGGGAATCATAGACAGAGCAAGCAAAAACAGGCTTCAATGAGTTTTAGCAGGGTTGCCAACAACAATTCATTCCCTGTCGAATCCAAAATCTCTGCTTGTTATAAAAGCATGCTACAGAGGCAACCATGGTGAGGTAACCTCAAACACTATGTGACCTGTTACGATAGTTTCCCTAGTGGTAAGCGCATATTAACTACATGAAGATGTAAAATTACATACTAAGAAATTCAGAGCTATAGTACCCCTATTTTTGAGTTGAGTCATAACACCATATTTAATATATTATGAAGCGATATTTAAGATAATTGGCATAATACAGTAGCAGGTCAACCTGTGGTCCTTATTTAAATGATGTGAGAATTGGTTTACACTCATGAATTTAAGTGAAAATCTTTCTAAAACACATACAGTGATACGGAGTATTTAAGAGAAATTGTTTCTCTATACTTGTAAATTTATTAGATTTATGAAAAGAATTTAGATACTTAAAATAATTTTATTTGTTAAGTCAGACAATTTCAATACTTGCGAAAAATAAAATATACTCCATTAATAAATATGGTTTAAAATGGTTTTAAAAATGTTTAAAACAGTTAAAATGTGGAATGGAATCAAATTTTATTCAAAGGTTCCTTAGAAATGATTGCTAAAATTTTCTAGATTTATAAATACACTAGGATTTTTAGCTAAAGTTAAAATCTTAAAGGAAAAGGCAGTTTTCAGTTTATAAGTTTAACAAATTGAGCACTAACACTAGGACCTAAATAACTCTCTGAATAGTGCTTTCTATAGTCTCCCAAACGACCTTCAAAGGCAGCAAAAAAATCCTCACGTTTTACAAGGTCGTTTGCAAATAACATGAAAACCTTGCTGGGGTTTTGATTGTAATTACATTGAATTTGGGGGAGAATTGTCATCTTAGCTATGTTGAGTTTTCCCATCTATGCACTTAGTATATATATTTCCATTTATTTAAGTCTTCTTTTTTTTAACTTCAAATACAACTTATATACTTTTCTTCATAAGAGGATTTCACATCTTCTGCTAGATTTATTCCTGAGTGTTTGCTATCTACACTTGAAGATGTTCCTTACAAGTCTTAAATAGAAACCTAGGAGGGAATAGCACAATTTCTAACACTCCTTGCCAATAAATTTTGGTCTGGAATCAGTGATCCTGTTGGCAAGATACGTCAGGAGAGCTATTAGCATTTCCTGCCCCCGAGATGACTTCAAGTCAATCCTGCCTGTTAGGGTACTTTCGTGTGTCTATCAAACATTGTCTTATAATTTGGTGTTTGAATGAGGAAAGATATGCAAGAAAAGATTCCATTGGGAGATGATATAGAATTTAAAATATATATGAAAAAGAAAAAAAGTCTTAGACTGGAAATTATATTTTGTCTAATCTATTTTTTAAATCCAGAAATGCAAGGCAACTTTTTCTTTTATTGTCCTTCTTGGTCTTGCACCGCTGACTTAAAAGCATTTTTTAAAGTAATTTAATATTTTTGAATAGGCAAGCCATCACTCAGAACTAAAACTATACAAAGGAATGCAGTCTCCCATATTTACCCATTTCTCAACCCCATCTTCAACAAATAACCACTGCAGTATTAGTTTTTTTGTGTATCATTCTAGAGATTGTTTTTATGGAT